TTTAGAACAGTGTCTGGCATGTGTACACATTTATATATTGGGGCAGATGGTTAAATAATCTTAAACACTTCTGAGTGCAACATATACACAGAGGGCAGTGTCCAGCCTCAACCATGTGTATAACCCCAGCGTGACCAGGGGCAGCCTCAGAGGGAGGTTGCAGGGTGTGTGTTGGGGCTAAAAAGGGTCACGGTACCTGCCATTGCTCCCAGCATTCAACAGAAGAGTAGAAATTTGCCAAGAGGAAGTGGCGAGCCAGTAAACATGCACACAGCCAGCTGAACGAGTCTGACACTAACCCTGATGCTCCCTTTAACCACTGCGGTCACGGATGCTTCTGTCACCGCCATTCCAAGCTCCCTGCTTGCTTGCCTCTAAAAGTCTGGAAGGCCCCTTCATGGGAAAGGGTCAGGATGATTCTAGACATGATTCACAAACGTTAGAGCTTCTGATACCTTGAATGGTTGCACCTTCCAATCCTTGACACTCCTTTCCTCAAGGTGGGAGAACTCTCTATCTGAAATGTCATGGGTCCTAGGAAAGGGCTTGAACCCCTGGCTAGCTGGGGTGCCACCCTGGGGGGAGTGCATAGGGCTTTCTGTTGCTTCCAGGCCAGAGACCCACATCAACACCACTGGCACCCACCAGACTGACAATTGCTACCTGGGTCCCTGGTGAGAGTCTCCTCCAGAGGCAGCTTCCCACATCAAGTCACCCAACCTGTTTGAACACAGGCATGCACACATACAAAACCGGAATCTTAAAAGGGTGTAGCTGACACACACAGGTGAGTCAAACTGTGTCAGGCAGTTCTCAACTGGCCCACGGGAGGCAAGTGCTCAACCACCCCATGGGGAGAGCCTGGCCCAGCCCCCAGCCCACCAGATGGAGAGACGTGTCCCTGCAGCACTGGGCAGCCAACAGCCTCAGCCAGAGATAGGGTTTGAGGACCAGGGGAAACATACAGGCTTAATTAAATCACCGTTACCTCAGCACTGACTAGAAAGTCTGTTGTCAAACAGTTACCATAACTCCATAAAAAATAAGAACACTAACACTGCAGGAAAGAAAGAGGCAGCTAAAAATAGACGAATAGCCCACAAATATAAAAATGTTCAATTCACTAATAATTTAAGGATCTAATGAAAACAGTGGGATGGGGTTCCACTTATGTGATCGGGAAAGAAGAAAATACCCAGGGAGGGAGGGGAGAGAGAGAGGGATAGACAGACAGGAAACAGTACATAAATCTGCACAAGAGCCTTTCTGCAAGAGACTTTAGCACTATATACTCAAAGTCTTCAAAACGTGTATACTGTTAACATAGTAAGTGCACTTCTAGGAATTTGTCCTGAAGAAACAGTTCTTTATATCCTTTATGTAACAAATCTCTACATACTCTGTATATAATGTTTATGTAGATGTTCAAGTACAAAGATGTTTTTCACAGCATTGCTTGTTATAGAAAACATTGGAAATGACCCAAATAGGATACTGGTTAAATTAATTATGGTTTACACGTAAGATAGAATACAGGTATTCTTTAAAAATACTAATGACATGACAAAACACTTGCAGGGTTCAGCTGAAGGGGGAACAGCAGGCTACAGCATAACATGCCTATAAAATATGACCCTGATTCTGTAAAATACAGATGCATGTGGTGCATGTGCACATAGAGGGTCAGGAAGACATGCAGCCACACTTAAGAGTGGCTCCGTTTTGGATGGTAGAATTACCCCATTTTGTGCCTGATGTGGTTTCTAAATTTTCAGCAATGACGTTATTTCTTTAGAGTCCAGAAAAGCCTCCAACACGATTTAAACAAAGCAGCAAACAGTGGACTAAAACCCTCCGTAGTGACTTTCCCCCAAACACAATGGACATGACATGCCTGGGGGTGTAAACATGGTCCTCTGTCTCTGCTCTGAACAATCACACTGTGCCAGTGCTGTGACAAGGGCCATAAGATGAGCAGGGGTCGGAGGATGGAGGGAGCTCAGCCTGGTGAAGGCATCGGATGGGCTTGGTAGGAGAGGGTTGGTGCATAGGGCGGATTCTCAGAGAGCATGTCAGGTGGGGAAAGCCACATAACCAGAGCAAACAGACTGCCAGGTTAAGAGAACGTGAGTGAGGCCCAACTAGAAGGCAGGGGCTCAGGGGGGCACACTGCGGACAGAGGGTCACATAGCTGGAGTCCTCTGCTCCTTGTAGAGGCTTCCCCTAGCACTGGTCCTCCTGCCACCCCTACAAGGGGTCAAGACTTGTTTCCCTGGGCCTGGAACATTCCCCCCCAGACCTGTGCATAGCCCCTCTCTCCACACTGCAGGTCTTATGGGAGGAGAGGTAAAAGTCAAAAGCAAATGGGAAAATGGCAGCCTCGTTACCAGAACTTAGGAGTCGCAAGTGCATTCTGCTGGTTTGGGGAGGAATAGATGAATCACAGGTATTAAAGCAGAAATGTCTGGGGAATGTAAGGGCCTGTGTGATGGGGGAGAACCACCAGGTAAAGACAATGTCCCCAAGGCTTGGGAAGTCGACTAGCTGTGGCACATGGCCCCAAATTCTGAGAGGATGAGAGGTGAATTTCAGACCCAATATTCTGAAATGCCACAGAACCCTGAACTGCAGGGAGTGTCAGGTACATCTGCAGGCAGTCCGTAGATTTCAAAGCGCTTTCATAGTCATCACTTCATTTTGTCCTGGGAGGTAAGAAGAACAGGAACAATGCCCATTTTACAGGTGGAACAACGAGGCTCTGAAGGGTTGAAGGACTTTCCTGAAGGTTCGAAAGAGTAGTAGGCTGCAGACCTGGCTGGACTCAGCCCCAGCACCATTTTCCCCACATGCAAACCCAGGTTTCTGGAGCTGCATTTAATGTGAATAAAGACATCACTGTCATAAAGTTTTGCTTCCTGTATTTTGACAACAGCAGCTGTAGAAATGGGTTCCAGGGTAGCAAATATTAATTTTAAGGGGGCCAGTAGGAGAGTGTGTACAGAGGGAAGAGCCAAGTGGACTCTCTGGACAAACAGTAAGGCAAGCCCCATCATCCAAAATGGTGTGTGTGTGTGCGTGTGTGTGTGTGTGTGTGTGTTGAACCAGCCAGCTCAGCAGGGCCCGCCCAGGTTGGTGTGGCCCTTCCAGGGGTACTCCCAAATTCAACCAAAACCCCAGCTCTGCCCCTCACCTCCAGGGGAAGATTCACTGCACCTGAACCTGAACCCAAGCACCCTTCTTCGCTGGGGAGCCAAAGGGGGTAGGGCAGTCGGAGGCAGCCTGCTGGGCAGCCAGGACATCCACAGCCCCCCACACCTCCTGGAGGAGACGCAAAGGTAGGCTTTTACTCTCCATCTCCCAGCAGCCTGCATGGTACCACCAGTTCAGACTGTGCGTAAGGCCTGGTGAGGGCAGTGTCTCCAGATCGATCCTTCTAGATAGATCCTCCGGAACTGTGCATGTCACCAGGCAGCTTCAAGGAGCACGTGCTACGCAGCACGAGGAATGTGGCTTGTGTGACTCAGAGAAAGTGTTTAATGTTAGTCAACCTACACTTAAAATCAAGTAGCCTCTGGAGGAACAGCAGGAGGGACCCTTGCTGGAAGTGTTCTGTATATTCACTGTGCTTGCTGGAGATGGCAGGGATGTGCATCCAACAAAGGTGCGTGACCAAGCCCACGCTACAAGAACGGACCTTCATAGGAATCTCTATATTCTCCTACAACTGCCTGGGAATCCATGATGATCTTAAAAAGTTAAAAAAAAAAAAGACCCATCACATGTGCTCAGTGCCCATGATAGTGGTCAAAGAGCTCTGATCAGCCACATTCCCACACATAACTCAGAGCAGGCACATTTGATTTGCGAGGGTGGGGGCACTCCTGGGCTAAAGAGGGGATGAGTCCCGGGGGAGGGACACAGAATTAGCACTGGGGAAAGGCTGCGACCTTAAGAGAAGTGAGGAGTTCATAAAAAGACGGTCTCCCCAAGATGAGAATGAAATCCTGTAACTCACTGGTTCATTGCAGAGAAGCCGCCCCCCATCCTCGGCGGATGCCCTGTAAATCCTTTACCAAAGGACCCCTTTGGCCCTTCCTTGACCGGCAGGGGCGGCCTGGGCAGGGGGGCCAATGTACTCGGCTCCTTAGGCACAATCGCCCCGCGCGGAGTTGGGGTTCTGAGCCCACACTCCCCCCCCCGCCCGCCCAGCCCCTCTCCAAGCACTCAGGCTGCTCCGCCTCGCTTTACAGGAGGCGGGAGGCATAGAGAAAGGGCGAGAGGGCCGACTCCCAGGCAGCAGCAGCGAAGGGCCCGAGGAGCCCCCTCCTCCGGGACCCTGAACAACTGCAACCAAGACCCTCGCAGACAAAAGCGTCAGCCTCCAAGGAGCCGCCCCCGCAAAGGGCAGAAGCGCCAGATCCTATCAGCCAATTAGCCGAACGCGCACAGCCACCCGCAAGTTGGGGCACGCTCGGGCCGGGGCGCGGGCAGCGGGAGGGGCCACCGGCCAGGCGCGCCCGGAGAGCCTGGGCCTGGGGCGCGCCGGCGGGGCTGGGGGCCCCGGCCGGCTGCCGCTCTCCCCTCGCGGGCTCCGAGGCTCCTCCGCAGCGAAGGAGGAGGCGCGGCCCTGCCCTCCCCCGGCCCGGGCCCCCAGGCTCCCCAGCGGCCCCACTCCGAGCAGCCCCCGGGTCGCCCCGGAAACACCGCCCCTCCACCGTGCGGCGCGCCGGGTCGTCTCCCGCTCGTGGAACAAAAGAGCCGCTCCCGCGGGGTCCGGAGCCCGCGCGGCCCTCCTAGCGCCGGGCTCCAGCGGCACCCATCGGGCTGCCGGGCTTTGTGTCCGTGCAGGGGCGGGAAGGGCGGCGGGACCCCCGCGCATCCCGCGGCGACGCCCGCACTCCAAAGTTGTCGCCAGCCCCCCTACCTCCCGCAGCGCCCAGTCCCCCCCCCGGGACGCTCATTCATTCTCAGGGGGGCGCAGACCGCCGGCTCCGGCTTACCTTGCTCTTGACTTCCACCGCGCTGCAGTCGTAGAAGCGCAGGGTCTGAGACTTGTGGAAACTCCGGTTCATGGTTCCGGCCCCGCTCAGCCTCGTCTCCTCCCTGGCTCCTCGCTCCAGGGGCTGCAGGAGGACGCTGGGGGCGGCGCCCCCCGCCCCGGCCCCGACCCCTACCCAGCCCGGCCCGCGCTCGCTCGGCCGCCCAGCCGCTCCGAGTGCGGCGGCCCGAGCTGGGCTGGCCGCGCGCCTCGGGACTCCAGGGGCCGCGCGCGGGAGGAGCGGGGGACGCCGCGCGCACCGCCCAGAGGACCCGCCCCCAATCTCCGCCCCGCGCCCCGAGGACCCGCCCCACGAGCCCCAAGGACCCACGTCCCTCCCCGCCTCCCGCGGACCCGCCGCCAACGCCCCACCCACGCCCCCCAGGACCCGCCCCCAAAGCTCCAGGGGCCCCTGTCCCGCCCGCGCCCAGAGGACCCGCCCCCGAGGGCACGCTCCACGAGTCCTAAGGACCCACGTCCCGCCGCGCGCCCCGAGGACCCGCCCCCGAGGGCCAGGCCCCCCAATCCCGTCCCGCGCCCCAAGGACCCGCCCCGCGAGTCTGAAGGACTCTGGTCCCGCCCCGCGCCCCAAGGACCCGCCCCCATCCCCGCCCCATTCCCCGAGGACCCGCCCCATGAGTCCCGAGGACCGTGGTCCCGCCCCGCGCCCCCAAGGACCCGCCCCCAGCGCCCAGCGCCCCGCCCCCAGCGCCCCGCCCCTAGCGCTCCGCCCCCGAAGCCGGGGCTGCCCCGGGAGGTGCGCGCTTCTGTCAGCGCAATCCGGAGCAGGGAAGAGAAGCTTGGACCAACCCGGGGCGTCTCATTCCCACCTGGGCACCCACAACTTCTCATGCTCGCCTCCGCCATGATTTTGTTTACCTCCACTGGGTGGCCAGGCGAGGGGGCTGATTTGGGCTGATTTTTGCTATTTTCCTGGGCGATGCGGGAACCAATGGAGGCTTGACCGACTCCTTCGGGCCACACCTGTCTGTACTAGCTGACAGGTAGTAAATGGTTCTAGAGAAGGTTTTGCAAGGAGGCAAACTCCTAAGGCATACTTTAGCACAGGTAGAAGTAAGGAGAGGGTCGGAAGCACCTCTAGGCCTAGCTGATGGAGAAGGAAGTCTTCTGCAAGGCCGGTAGAAAACAGAATATCTTAGGAGAAAGATGGAATCAATTGTTAGCAACGTCACTGAGTACTTCTTTTCTAGAGGGCTCTGGAAGAGGAGCTGCTGAAACCAAAATCCTCACCCTTCAGGAATTTGTGATGAAGCTAAGAAGACAGGACAAATAAGTATTTAAAAATTATTATAAATTATATTCTAAATAATCGTAATTTATAAGTTATGTAATTGTAAAATTACTATAAATTCATTGTAAAAGAGATCTGGAGAATACAAAGAATTCAAAGACAAAAGTAACAGTTACCCATAATTATACTAGTCAGCAATCCTGTTAACCTTTTGGTGTATATTATCTCTGTTCCTTTTTCTGTATATATGTTCATATATTTTACAAAATTGTGATCATGCTGTTTAACCAGTTTTGCAACCTACTTTTTTCACCTCATGTTATATAAGGAATATATTCATTAAGTGTTTTTAAGAAATACGGTTTTTAAGAGCTGCAAATATGAATACAGGCATAACTTTTAATCATCCCACTATTGGATAATCAAGATGTTTCCAATATTTAGTTTTTATAAAATCTTGTGTTTCTTGAATTCACTTATATCTAATTATTTCATTAGAATTGACTCCAAAAAATGGAATTACTATGCCATGGAGTACACATATCCTTTAACACAGATTTCCAAACACTATCACTCCGGATTTAATTTTTACTTCACTTCACTAAATATCCTCTTACATACATGCCAGGGACTACAACCGCAGAGACCCACGGTTACAGTCCTACCCCTAAGAGAAACACCAGTCTGGCCTGGGGTCCAGACATGTAGACAGAATTCCGAATTAAGGCAAAATGCCAAAAGATTCCCACAGAAAGTCAGTAAAAAAACATTCCAGACGAAAGATTTAGGATGTCCACTAGTCTGAAAGCTACAAAACGCCTTGTATAATGGTTTATTATCAATGTAAATTTTAATAAATTCCAGGTAGAATTTTTTTTTAATGTCAAAGAGATACCCACTCTGTGCACAGAGGTGCTGACTTTCTTTCAAAGAGAAATCCCCTAAACTTCATGCAGGTCTGTGGTTGTTGCCAAGTGCTGAGAACAGCGGTCATGCTGGGGGGAGAGCTCCCACCTAGATTTCTTAAGAAGCAGGGACAAGGGGCTGATGGGAGATGAACAGCATTCTAGGTGATGGGGAAGGTACAGGGCACCACTGGCCAGCTCAGGGCCTGGAGATAGGGAGGGAGGGGTGGAAGCTACAAGATTCTGTCTTTGGTGGAAGTGAGATAATTTCTGTCATGCCTGTGGCCCAGTGTGGTCCAAGGCCCAGCGCTTGTTATCAATACCCCACTCAGACCCTGAGCGGTATCTGCACCTAAGCAAGATCCCCTGGTGGGCTGTGTGCCCCATTTTTGTAGTTTCCTACAAACGTGACTGGCATGGTCAGCAGGAGGAAATGTATGTGAAGGGAGCCTGAGTCTCCAGCGCGAACCTGAAGGTGATTCTTCTGGGCTTCAAGCTTGTGTGTGAGTTGGGTGTAGACAAAGCGGAGTGGCCAGGCAGAGCCTGAAGATGGAAAAGCTTCTTTCTTGCCCAGCAGCACGACTGAAAACCTCCCCACAGGTGCTGGCCTGACACACAAGCACGGGAGCCTTGGGAGGCCCTGTTGTTGGGCTCTCTCTGACTGGCAGGTGGGCTCCCAATGGACACACAGGCCGGACACAAAATCCTAATGGCCATTCTGTTGGTTATCGCTAAGCTAGCTGCCTCAGGACAGTGTTCAGAGATTCAGAGGAAGTTAAATGAGGAGACTGTCAGCAAAGGTGTTGGAAATTTTGGTAATTGCACTGTGTGCTCTGCAGGCATCCCACAAAGGACCTGCATCAGGTGAACTTGAGCATGTGGCTTACCTGAGCCTCAGGTTTCTTTATTTTTGAGGTGGGTGCTCGGTGCCCCGCCCCCCCAGCTTCCTGGCAATATCCCAGTAATGAGAAGACACAGCGGATGTGGCCCCACTGGGGAATCTAAAAGCGCTCTACCAGTACAAGTGGTCGGAGGGGTCTCCTGCTTGGCCTGGGGCAGGGGTGGTGCCAGGAGTGCCTGCACCTCCCTTGGGGGAGTGGACATGGCTGAGCCGGAGGCCTGGGTCACAGAGGTACACCCTTACTATTTGTTGCAGGGTGAGCAGCTGGTTTCAGTCAGAGGCTAAGAATGAAAATGGAGAGGGGCCTAATCCTCTTCAAATAATCCATCCAAAACTGGTGACCAAGTCCCCCAGAGTCAAAAGAGAAACATTTTAGACCCAGAAAAATGTGTTCCCCAAAAACCCTAGGTTTCACCCTATGGTCATTGGTATCCACAATGGAAGGAGCAGTAGAGTTAAAAATCTCAAACTGCTCAATACGTGAAGACAAAAGGCATCTTCATCACAAAGAAAAGGGATTTAATAAGGAAACACATACAGATAAATTGTTTTTAAAACTCTGATAATAGAGAAATGCTAACCTCATGTGAGTCACTAAATCAGCTGTCAACACATCTTGTTGATTCCAGATGTGATGGAAAGAGTCAGTGAAGGAGCAGAGACCCAGCGCCCTCCCCACCCAGCCCAGCCCCACCTCCCGGAGTGCCCCCCGCCCCCCAGAGTGCCTGGCTAGGAGGGGAGGCCTGCATACATGGCCAGCCTCAGGGCAGGCCAGAGCCTGAGTTTGTGCAGCAGGATAGGTTCAGGGTTCCTAAACAGAATTCCTACCCTCTCGCCCCAGGGGCACTTGGTGATGTCTGGAGGGTATGCTGATGGCAGGTAGAGGCCAGGAAGCTGCTAAACACCCTACAATGCACAGGACAGCCCCTGCTGCAAAGTATGATCTTGAGCAGAATGTCAGTGGTGCCAAGGATGAGAAACATGGGCATATGGGAATGCTGGCCTCCAGGAGAAGCTCAGGATCCCAGCCCATCCCTCTTCCAGCCTCCACAGGTGGTCCTCTCCTCTAGCTTGGTCAAGTTTAAGGACCTTTTGTTGTCTACTGATGATGGGTGATCCAATGTCCCATCCTTAGAAGTCAGGAATAGAGGGCTTTGTTAGCTCCCTAACTTTCATGGGATCAGAGTGACCATCCCAGCGTGCCCCACCCCTCCCTCCGCTGCTGTGGAGCGGGGTCCCCAGCACGCCCCCACCCCTCCCTCCTCTGCTGTGGAGCGGGGTCCCCAGCACGCCCCACCCCTCCCTCCTCTGCTGTGGAGCGGGGTCCCCAGCACGCCCCACCCCTCCCTCCTCTGCTGTGGAGCGGGGTCTCCAGCACCCCCCACCCCTCCCGCCTCTGCTGTGGAGCAGGGTCTGAAGAGCTCAGTCAAGTGGTTGCAGGCTTTAGTGTTGCAGGTTTGCTGTCAGTCTTACTGGTCATGTAGGCTGTGGTATTTGGATTAGAAAGAGACAAATTAGGGCAATTAGCAGTGAGGCAGGGGCTGCTCTATGCACCATCTTTGAGTGGTGAGGCTGGTAAGTAGCAGAGGCCTGACGAAGACACACCCCCACACTCCTACTCCAAGCCCAGGACCTTTCCAGTCCACTCCCCAGAAGGCTTTCCTGGTTACAGACACCTCCTCTTAGGCTCTCAGCATGTGGCCCAGCTGTGTCCCAGGAGGTTCAGGAACAGTGTGTGGCATGGTGTCCATTCCAGATGAAGCTCCAGGTCAGAGCAGCACAGCCTGAGGCAGAAGGAGACCCGTCAGTAGGTTAGCAGTGGGGTGGCATCCCAAGGAGTGTGTATTGTCTCCATTGTCTTTTGCATTTTTAAATGCCTGCCCTAAGTATGCATTTCTGTAATGAGTAACCTAATAATGTGGCAGCTCAGTGCAGGTTCTCAGCTTTGCAAAAGGGTCCTGTCTGGCTCTTGGCCA